ACAAGATCATACTTTTCATACGCTGTCAGTTATTTTTTAATAAATAAAAAAGTGAAAAAAATCAAAGAAATTATCTGGCATTTTTTGTTTATTTTTGCTGTATCGAAAACATACCGAACCGTGACACCACTGTGTTGTATCGAACCGAACCATGATTTTTGTGAACCGTTACACCCATAATTTCAACCCACCTGTTATGAACTCTGCTGACTACTTGGACTGCATTTAGGATTGGACTTTTCCAAGATATCCACTGTCTGGCATGAGGTGGACTATATCACTACCCAACACCCAGATTATGATCATGGGGATAATGTGGAATATCGTGCATTCCTGCCCAGACTGCCGGAACAACTAAGGGAGGCTTTCCCTATGCGACGGGACATAACCAGGATCTCCTCCTGCAAACAACAGGAGGGAGAGACTGTCACATAGTATTTTCAGAGGTTGATGGAGGTGAATGTCGCCCATTGTGGAATAGCAAGACTGGGCAACATGAATTCAGGCCTGGCTGTGACTGCCTACAAAGCCCATTTTAAATAGTTTCTTAAACAGAATGAGACCGGAAACAAAAAAAAACAGACTTGCATCACCTATGATTCTGGCAAATTACAATTAATTGAACAACATGCGAAATACGCAGAGAAATTACTAAGCGCAGAAACAACAGAACAAAATGGACGACACACTGGAAATAATGGCATCAGGATGATGACGGGGAAAAAGCAGGGCCTCAGGAAGGGGCAGGGGCAAGATCCAAGGTGATAATACGGTGGGTGGGGGGAGGGTAAGGGGTGAGTCCAAATGCACACTGTCCAAATGCTTTGCTCCTTACTAACCCCGCTAACTGCAATGAAGACTCGCTTACTCAGCAAAATTCCACGACTCTCGTGACACAAGCTATCACATATCTTGGACAGAAAGCGTAGAAACTGCAAGCCACGTATGTAGAATACGACTCAGACGCGCATAAGGCTACCCACTGTGATGTTGACGGTAGAAGGAAAAGACAGAGTTTCTGATTGATTCAGAAGCAGGAAATTCTGTAATGAAAATGGCTGAGTTCAACTCACCACCCAAACTTAGCGGAAGGTTCCTCAACATTGTGGGATCGTCTGGTCAAATTATAACAGAAAAGTTCACTAAACCTTTAAGATGTGTTCTGAATCCAGATACTAAATTCAAATTCTCATTTCTGCTGCTGCAATGCTGTTCCCTAAATTTACTGGCACGAGATTTGATTTGCAAACTGGGCATAGTGCTTATCAGCACCCCAGAGGGACTGCGAGTGACAAGACTGAGTGAATTGGACATGAGTGATTTAAAGCAGTTTCACTTTAGTGACACGTGATCCTTCGCCCTTCTGTATGTGTATGAGTGGAGACTCGTACCTACAGCTGTGTGTTCAGTGAACAACCAGGCAAAGACACGCGCACACAATGTACAATATATGAGCCCTAGTGATTT